GGACGTTATACTCGAAAAAGTCGAAGCTAAGAGTAAATCGAAGAAACCACCTGTGTGATAGATGGATGCTAATGTGGAAATATGCATCCTTTAAGTCCAGGGAAGTCAATCTTCTCTCCTGAACAATGGAAGGAAATTCTGAAATTCTGAAGGGTAGTCATCTGAAATGTCTTAGTCTTGATGAACTTGTTAACACTACGTAGATCATGTCTCAGACGTAGACAACCGCCCCGTTTCTGGACGGTAAAATATCTTGAGTAGAAACCGTGAAGCCCCTCTAAGTGGGAGAGCTGATGAACTGCCCCTTTACAAAGTAGCTGGGAGACCTCGTCTCAGAGGACCGTTGATGGAGAGGTGCAATGGATCGGTCCCGAAGGGGGCATGGTCTCAAACTCGATTTTATATCCGTGCTCGACAATGGAAAGATGTGATGGACTCCCAAATGGGGAGTCAGCCTTGCAGCTGGTCCCCAAAAGGGAGGGGGGAAAGTGGGTGGAGAGAGAGATCAGCCTGCGTGTCCCGTCAATGCTGTTGTTTGTCGTTGGACTGACAGTAATGGCCCTGCTGGAATGAGGTGGTAGGCTGGCCTCGGTTTCGTTGTTGGCGAGGCTGATACTGTTGACAAGAGGCATATCATTGGTAGGGTTGGTACCGATAAGAGCAAGACTGTGGCCACTTACGTTGGCTCTGGCTCAGTATTTCCATCTTCAAATCGGTGACTCGAGCATTGTAAATATGCTCGAGCTTGTGGTCCGTGTGGGCATTGAAAGGCCAGACCCGTCGAAAGGCATGCCTTTGATGCAGCTCTTCGTCTTGTCTGGGAAATTGCAGGAGTGTAGCCACGTGTGCCAGCATAAGGCGATGGAGCTGACAAGCACCTGGGAATCATAATTCACATGATGCCCTGCCGTACTGAGTTGTTGTATGGGTAGCTGCATGGACTCACAGATAAAAACGCAGGCCAGATTGCGTTGTTGTTCCAGGATGGTCGAGGTGATGGATTCCAGCCTTTGCATCAAAAAGTACTGGTACCAGGCCATTGTCACCTCGTAGTTTGATATCCGTAAGCCCAGTCCCATCACAGTGACATCAAGTATGATATGGTGTGACATCAAGTCTATTTTCTGGCCCTCCTTGTTTCTCGGGGTCAAGTGCTCCCTGTTATCTCAACCCTGTGAGATAGGGTTGACAACTATAGAGTTCGATTTCGGGTGCTTGAGCAGGAATGGGATGTTCTGCTCCCTAACCTTATACATGGACTCATAGAGCTGAGACGTCGGGTGTGGCTGGCTTGGAAACTCCCAAGTGTCCATCATAGCCTGGCAAAGAGTTGTTATCAAGGGGATGGAGATAGCGGATGATTGCTCCTTACAAACAATATCATAGAAGTGGTCCTCATTGGGGTTCACCCAATGTTCAACTCCTGCGACCTTGCAAGGCAAGCCATAAGTTCTCCAAATGTGGAGTATGACTCTTCCGGCGACCCAGGTTGCTGAGTCGAAATGACAGCATCAGGAGAGGTGTAAGCCTGATCCGAGTCCTCCGAATCTGAGTTGAAGTGGTACGGAGGAATGGAGGAAGAGCCAGCCAGAGATGGAGGAGGGCGGGAGAGCGCAACCGCTGAGGTGGAAGGCACTTCTGCCCAGGACGGACGATGCCTGCGCACCGAAGGCATGGGGTAGAAGATGTACAGTGGAGGGTAGTCCCAAGGATAGGACTGAGATGGGTCAAATTCGCCGTACGGCATCGAGACCCAGTTCCTTGACGATTGGCCTGAGGCACACTGGTGGTGACGCATGTCAGATGGAGGCTGAGGCCTTGGCGATGCCTCTGGTGACAATGGCATCGGAGTAGGTGAGCGAGCCGATGGATGACCCGGTTGAGAGGGGAGAGGTGAATCCCATATCTCACCATCGGACATTGATCTGCAAAGAGCCTCCTTGGAGCGATCCAAAGTTGAAGGAGCCGACAATGAGATCCTTTGCAGGGATCCAGGTGGTGTAACCTGCATGACGGCTTGGGCAGTCAGACCTGAAGGAGTCAGGACTGACGCAGCCATTGGGAACAATGGGGCGTTTGAGCCGAGTCCCTGGGAGGCTTCTGGGCAAGCTTACGCTGCTTGCGTTCAGCCTTGTCAGCTTTAGTCTTCTTAGACTTTTTCGGAGCCAACGGATCCTCAAGCCCAGTGTGCTTCCACTTCTCCTTTTGTTTTTGGGAGTAATGGGAGGAGCAAGTGGTCTCCTTGGAAGCAGCCCTCTTGGATGGTGGACACCATGGGCGGGCCTGTAAAAGAGGCCCGGGCGGCAAGCTCATCGGAGGCAATGAGGGCCTGATCCCAAAGGATCTTAGCCAATTTTATCGATTCTTGTATGCTTGTTTGGTGAACGACTGACAGTGGCCACATCTGTCAGTCCGATGCTCTTCTCTGAGACAGAGAAGGCATAGCTTGTGTGGATCTGTAGGAGACATTTTGGCCCCACACTTTGAGCACTTTGGAAAAGCTGCACGCTGAGTCATTGAGAAGAAGAATGGATAGCGAACGGAAGAATAAGAACTATAGAAGATGGTAAAGATATGAAAATATATAACTTTTCTTTTGGAGGGGAAGGGGGGGAAAAGGGGAAGAGAAAAACTGTCCTAACAGGGAAGGTAGGGATTTGAACTTGGAAAGGCATTTCTAAGAAGAGAACTATGGGAATCAGCGAACAAGAACAACAAGGTAATATGCAGTAGAGTAGAGAGAGTAATGAACGGCTCGAGGCAAAGTGATCAGCGGTCGAAAGAAGACTGGGGAAAATGGCGGGTGCTCTGCCCTTTATACCATAGTGGGGGAGGGGTGTGGAGTTCCCACCAAAATCCATTTTCCTGTCTGCAGGCACTGCGCAGGTGCAGCACCCATAATGTGTGATACACAGAGACCATGACAAAGAACTGTAGAATGATCTCCCTGCTGAGCCTTCCTGGGGTCTACATTATTATCTTTTCAGCGTCATGGTAGAACTGTTCTTTAGTTCCAGGCATTTAAAGGCAAAGATGGAACATATCTGTTGCATTAACAGATCTAGTTTTCATTGATACTTTTAGTTTAAATATTTTTAAATTTTGTATATTTGATTTTTACACTGTACATTATTGTATTTATATTTCTATTGTCATTTAGTTTTAGTATTGTACCTATTTTTAGGGATTGCTTTGAACCACTCAAAGAGCTTTGGCTATTAGGTAGTATAGAAATGAACATGAAAATAATAATACTCTAGTTATTCTATTCTTGGGAAAGATGCTTAAGCAAATGGTGCTGTCAGAACTCCAGGTTTTTTGGATGAGGAGGATTGTCTAAATAAAGGGTCTGGAATTCCCCACCCAGGACTGAATGTTCTGGGCAGGCCCCATCCCTTGCCATCAGTTGGTCCGCAGTCGAAGTACTGGGTGGATGATTCCTTTCAGTTTGGCTGGAATCCACAGTAGCACATGTTTTAACTACATCCTATTTGAATGATTGTAATGTACTCTTCATGGGGTTGTCTTTGAAAAGGATTTGACTTTGGCTGATCTAAAAGATATTGACTGGATCCGGTTACAAGGAATATGTGACTTCCTCACTTAAACAGCTTCAGTGCATGCAGATCTGTTTCTCGGCATAATTTAAAGTGCTAGTTATGTCCCATAAAGCCCCATATGACTTTGCATGAGGATATTAAAACATACACACACTCCCATATAAGCTTGCCCAGGTTTTGAGACTCTCCAGATATAGCCTTCCTTCTGTCCTGTTGCCATCTGAGGTACAGCTGGTAGCCACTTCTTGGTGCCTTCCCCCAGGCTCTAAAACTGCCTGTCCAAGGAAGGCCAAGATAGCTACATGTTTGATGTCTTTCTGCCAGCAGAGCAAGATTTCTTCAGACAGACTCTATTATTTAATCTGACTTATTTCCTGATACAGCATTTAGCTGGTGGGTGCTGTTGAGTCTTTATGTTAGTCGTGTGTTTTAATAGTGTATTTTAATGTATTTTTATGAATTAACAATTATTTTGTATCTTATCTTTTATTTTACTGGTTTTAGCTATATTAGATACTATTTAATGGAAAGCCAGGAGGTCAACGTTTATTTTGACAGCTCTTGTTCATTTCACGGGGTCTTGCACAATTTAAAATCTGATGTATTGGACCCATGGTAGCATGTATGGCGGTCTGCATGTGCAATTTGGATTTTCCATCCTGGGCTACTAAATGATTTGTACAGCACTCCAAAGTACACTATTTCAGTGAAGCTCAAACATTTTCAACAAGGAAAGATGTTAACAGAAGGTGTAAAGTTTGTACTCACATCATCGCTGGAAGGAGACTGAAAATAGTTTCAAATAAAGCCATTTTAATATGCAACACCTTTCCTTTACCGCACTATTGCCTCCAAGGGCCCCAAAACTAATTTCTTTGCCACAGACACTAACAGTTCTATTGAAACACTTTCTTCAGTTCCCTCATCCTATACTTCAATTGACTCCATCCCTTTCATCAAAGTATGGCAGCATGCTCTCAGCTTGCTATTCAGTTCAGTTCAGTTCAACGCCACTTTCTTGACCTCCTCCAGGTGTTTAACACAGGCTTTTCTGCCATATATAAGCATCAGTTCTCAAAATGGCATCTTCAACAAAGCATAACAATCAACGGTTGTATCTTAGAGGTCCCTGCCTTCAAAAAGACAATTGCAATCCATTCAGTACTTTAGTTATCAGACCAAACCTTACTATGGAACACACCTTCACACTAGTGATAGGGTCTGGGTCCAGGATGCAAATTTTCCTGCACTAAAGCGAGGTTTGCATAATGTGGGTGGCATTTAAATGGTCAATAGCCCTAACTATATCTTCCAGATATTAGGAAACACGTTCATGCTGTGTCAGTGTTTTCAAGTCAGTCATGCCAAGATACAATCTTCAATGCACATAAATCTGATACAATTTTGCAGAGGAGGAGGTCTTTAAAAAAACCACCTTACCTTATCCTCCAGCCGAATCAGTCTGGCTCCTACAGTATAATATCCTTTGTCTACCCCCTTTTCTAAATTAAAAAAAGGGAGGGCACTCAGTTATATGACTGAAAAAAATCCAGCTAGTTTAATTAGGCTGTAGTCAAAAACTACTAGAAAGGTAACTATCAATGTGACTGTAACCAGAAATAATAACAGATATTGTTTACAAAATGGATTACTCCAAACAAATGCATATTTACTGGGACATAATTCAGCTTGTGTAGAGTACATGTTTTGCTTATGTTTTACCACATATTCGAGTCCTGACACCTCCAGTCGAAAAGATATTGGCATGGCTAGGGAAAAAACAATGTGCTTAAAGCCTTGGAGGGCAGCTGTTAGTGAGCACAGGCACTGTACTGGACCAAACAGAAACAGACCAAGGTTTGACACAAAATCTGGCTAGGGATGGGCAAACCCCACCTCACTAGCATTGCTCTTGGTTGTTTTAAAATTAAGGATTGAAGTCCTTGGGAGGATTACAGAACCTAAGAACCACTGTGTATTTCTCTTGATGTACTGCACAGCAGTGTGGCAGAACCAGCACAAGGGAGACAAGGCCTCCTTCTTCCCCATGTCCTGTGTACACCATTGCTTGCGCTGCTGTAACTGCTCAAGTAAATAAAGAAAACTAAGTGGAAGGTATCTGCAGGGCGCATGTTAGTATTTTGGGGAAAGGGGAGCCCAAAATTATTTTCCAGCTAGGATTTTAATCCTCTTCCCTCTTACAGTACCTTGCAGTAGTATTCAATCCCACCCATGGCCCTTGTCTTTTCACATTTTGCAGTGCTGCAGCCTGGAATTGAAATGCTACCAGTTGATGTACATTGTGAAGAGGGCAAATATTTTTCTTGAGACATAAAACTTAAGTAAAAAACAAACAAACTGACATTGTTGGTTGCAAAAGTGCTCACTGTGATTGCTGTGCTGAGACATACCTAAAAAAGCTCTGGTGCAACCTACTGCCTCCAGAATTACTCTCAGTTTCTGCAAGGCCCTAGATTTTGTTGGACAAAATTCAAACAAACAACATTATGAAGACCCAGGAGCTATCAAACCAAGCCCAGGAAAAATTTCTGCAGAAACACTAATCAGGTATGGTTTAAAAAAAAATATGCTCAGCTACAAACCTCTCCTGGAGCACTGGTAAATCCATTAGTCCCAAATTAAAAAAATATGGCATAACCACAGCTCTGCCTAAAGAAAAACATCTGCCAAGGCTCAGTGATTCAGTAAGGAGGATGTTAGTCAGAAAATCAACTACAAGAGTGATGGTAACTCTGAAAGAGTTGGACAGACCCAGACTGAGAAGGAAGAAACCATCTATGGAACAACTATTGTCTGAGCATTTCACAAAAATGGACTATATGGAAGGATGCCAATAAAAGAGCCATTGCTGAGACAACTCCATATCAAAACCTGTTTGGCTTTTGTAATAAGGCATGTGGGAGACACAACAAACATGTGGGAAAGGTCCTCTCATCTGAACTCTATGGTCTTACTGCAAAATGCTATGCATGGTCCAAAGGCACTCATTGTCCTGCAAATACTATGTCCACAATGAAGCACGGTGGAGGCAGCATCATGTTCTGGGGGTGCTTTTACTTGGCAGGGACTGGGAAACTCATCAGGATTGAGGGCAAGATGAATGGGATCAAATGCAGGGCAATTCCAAAAGAAAACCTGTTTCAGTTGCAAGGGCACTGGGCCTGGGCTGTAGGTTCATTTTATTGCCATATAATCACCAAAAACATGAAATCAAAGAACAACTGGAGTGGTTTTTGAAGGTCTTAGAGTGGCCTGGTCAAAGCTCAGACCACAATCCAATTGGGATTGGAAGTTGCTGCTCATCAGTCTGACAAAGCTGGAGCAGTTTCACTAGGAAGAATGGGCCAAAACTGCAGCTTCTGCATGTACAAAGCTGATAGGGTAAAGGTAAAGGTTCCCCCTGCACATGCATACTAGTCATGACTGACTCTAGGGAATGCTCATCTCTGTATCTAAGCTGAAGAGCCACTGTTGTCCAAAGAGGCTTCTGTGATCATGTGGCCAGCAGGACTAGACACTTTCATGCACAGAATGCTGTTACCTTCCCACTGAAGTAGCACCTATTCATCTACTTGCATTTGCAAGCTCTTGAACTGCTAGGCTGGCAGAAGCTGGGGCAAGTAATGGGTGATCACTCTGTTAAGCAGTTGAACTACTGACCTTCTTGTCGACAAGCTCAGCATCTTACCAGAGACTTACAGAAGAAGACTTGCAGCTCTATCTGGTGTCAAATGTGCTTCTACCAAGTGTTGACTTGGGGGAAGGGTACTTATGCAATCAACAAGGGCTATTTTGTTTTTGTTCATGCAACTTTTGTGCCTCAATAAAAATACTGTGCACACTCAACATGCTGTGTATCTTGTGTATCATTTCAATTCCAGATTGTAAGACAACAACATGAGGAAAAGTGCAAGGTGGGGGACCAATACTTCTGATAGGACATGTACATAATTCATCAGTTGATTCACTTTGTCGTTATATACCTGGAAGGAAGAGGCCAGGCTTTCCCAGGGAATGATCCAACCTGAAAAAAGATAATTTGTTTATAAGATTTCTTTTCTCAGTAGCTTTCCAGTATGATTCAGCCTATAGTAATAACTGCAATAATGTTTTGTAATCTGTTGAAAACAAAGCAAGATCCTACACAGGAGTGTACAGAATTCTAACCCCATTCTCATCTCAAGTTTAGTACTTTGGGTTCCAAAATAACTCTAGCCATTTTCCCATGTGTCCCTAAAACACGTGGAGGAGGGTACAGTGAGTGCACAGTGCCCACCAACCCTACACTTAACACTGACCCTGATGTCTACACATTTCATGATCCAAAAGAGAACCAAGAAATGTAAGTTTCCAGTTACTTAGGCACTATGTGAGATTTTAGCTTACTAATCATGGAGGGCCTATGAACATACAGCTATACACAAGTAGCTTTTTCTTTTCAGATAATCATGCTGGATGGGTGGACACTGAAGATGGAAGATGTGGCCCCTTTTCCCCCTAAATGTGGTGAGGGTGGATTGAGAAGTTTCATTTGAAAGCTCTAGAGAGTTTTTTTTTAAATAAATAAGGCTAAAGACAACAATATAAGCCTATTCTTACTTTCTATGTATTACAGATTACATAGGAATCTGCTATACCTATCCACTATTTATGCACTTAAAGTTTCCCATCAGAGATTCTTCTTTTATCAACCCTAGTCAAGTTGAGTAAATTTTTAAAATATCTTTTTAGTCTGTCATTACGGCCCTGGAATTTGGAAGATTCTCCTGAATATATTTCACAATACCACCGTTAATATTGGGAAGTACACACATACAAGTAACAACATATTTAGAACAATTATGTTATTCTACCTTACCTAAGAGCAGCTAGAGAATACACAACATGGCATCATTTGAACCAAGTGCTTCCTCATTAATGGTTCAACCTCCTAGGCATTGTACTGCACCAACTCTCAGCATACCTTGTTTCCTGACAATAGAACTCTGTGATTCAGGGAAGTGGCGGGAACACAGGGAGAAGACTTTAAAGGAAGACACTAATATATTCATGCAATTTGGTGATTTTTTTTGTGTTGCAAGAGCAGCAGAAAGTTTTTAAATTCTTTTTAATAGCAAGGGATTTCTCTTTCCTGTTGAGTAGTGAAAAATAATACAAGGAGCATTCCTTAGGATGAAGATGAACATGTTTTCCCCTTCAGTTTCCTATGCATAGGCAGCAAGGGTGTTACCCAGGAAAAGACTTTAGCTGATGTGCACCAACTAAGTCTCATTCAACAGTTCATTTAAGGATGTGATGGAGCTGCAATCGAGAAGCGGATTCATTTACCCTCAAGTTGGTCAGGGATCTCTGAGTTCACCAACAATACCTTAAAGATTCTGCTGGCTGAGAATGGGAGATTTAATAAGCAGTCCAGCTGCAAATATTAGTCACTGGCTCAGCTTGATGCATTGAACAGTAAATGTCCATTATTACCAGAAGCATCTGTTGTGACATTATTGATGACCATTTCCAATTTTACAGATAAGATCATTAGCTGGTTTACAGCTGGTTTTACAGCTACTCCCAAATATCATAGGATGTGGTAGAGATATTGGTGCAGTGTTTTAAGTGACTGGGGAAATGGATGAAGAAAAAAGCTACTGATTGCTCTTACCTACGGAACCTCTATGTTCAGAGCCTGAATACCAGATTCTGGGAACCAACAACCAAGGCAGGAGGTTACCTTCTGTGTGGGGTGGCTGCTAGTACTGATGACAAGTACTCCATTGCCTCCAAAGCAGGTGAGAGAGTCACAATGATCACAGACAGCTGAGCATAGAAAATGAAAAGTTGCCCCAGCTGTTGCCTGATGGCAGGCATCTCTCTCCCCTGGGGTCTGAGGGCTGCACAGAGTCAGGAATGTGGGATCCATTACCCAGGTGGCCCCCTAAAAAGCCATTTTCCTTGGGCATCTGAGTGAAAAACTTAGGACAGCTTCGTGCACTAGCTGTAAATGCACCTTGTGGGTTTTATGCTAAAAACCTAATGTTAGACTGGAGAACCCTTTGGTCGGATCCAGCATGGCTCTTTTTCTGTCTTCCTTTTAAAAGATGAAATTAAAATCTGAGATAAGAGTTCATCAAACTCTATACACAAAAAGATACTAGGCAACTGCACCTTCTCAGGGAGGCCATGCCCTTCAATGCACTATCTTGTTTCCCTTAGAAATGAAACAGAACAAAACACAAATTGTTTTTGATTTCTGATCAATTTTGATCACTTTCTTCTAGACTAGAATGGACCTAGAGGTTTACATTTAGGAAACAGGCAAACAATGCAAACAAACTGCTCCATCTTTAACAAGCCTTCCTTTCTCTCCTTTATTAAGTTTGCACAATTATTAACATTTTGCTGGAAGCTCAAGTAACAGCAGTGGTGAGAAGCGCTTTCCTTCAGCTTCGGCTGATTCATCAGCTGCGTCCCTACCTGGAGAACAACTGTCTGGCGACAGTGACACACGCATTGATGACTTCTCGACTAGACTTCTGTAACGTGCTCTATGTGGGGCTGCTCTTGAAGATGGTCCAGATACTTCAATTGGTGCAAAACAGAGCTGCCAGGTTGCTGACGGGGACTGGGCGTTGTGCTCACAAAACTCCAGTCCTCTGTCAGCTTCACTGGCTCCCCATTGAAGTTCTGGCCCAATTCAAGGTGTAGGTTATCACCTATAAAGCCCTTAATGGCTTGGGTCCTGGTTACCTAAAGGAGCGCTTATGTCCATACGTGCCCTCCCGCCCCTTGAGATCGGTGGCAGAGGCCCTTCTCCGGGAGCCCTCCGTGATGGACATTAGAAGGGTGAGCACCCGGAGGAGGCCTTTCTCTGCGGTGGCGCCCAACCTATGGAATGCGCTCCGCAGAGAGGTCTGCCTGGTGCCGTCGTTATTTGCTTTTTGGCGCCAGGCCAAGACCTTTTTATTTAAATGTCATTTTAATTGTTGATTTTATTTATTGATTTTAACAACTTTGGCCAGGATGTCTCCAACTGTATTTTATTGTACTAGTGATATTTATTTATTTGTAAGCCGCCCTGAGGCTTAGGCGAATGGGGTGGCATATAAGTCTGCTAAATAAATAAATAAATTTTAAAGGAGATCTGACAAAGTAGATTTTGGTCCATGAAAAGTTATTGGTACAATAAGGCTGCACCTCTATACATAGTTACCTGGGAAGAAGTCCCATTGAACACACTGGGGCTTAACTTTGAGTAGACAGCCATAGCACTATAAATATCTTAGTCTATAAATATGTGTAAAGATTAAGAATATATTAGTCTTCAAGGTGCCCCAAGATTCTATGTTGTTTTTACTAAAAGTTAAATCCATCCACCACATTCCACTAAGAACAGGTATAGCACAGCATGTAGGATAGTGACCTACCCCTTGTGAATCTTGCCTCTGTCAAGAACAAAGCTGTCTGGAACAAGTCTCTATTCTCTCAGCCCACCATACTGGGATAATGATACTAGCCAATCTTACAATGCCATTATACAGATTGCAAGAAAACAGTAATCTATATGAAATGTTTCTAAAGTTTGCAAGTAATATAATTTAGAGACTTAAAGAAGTTCTGTATGTTTCAGTGATTCCTGTGCACAATGATTTCTTAGCCACTTATTTCTAAAATTTATATTCCTGTTGCCTTGTTCACAGGGCCTTAAGAAACAGAGAAACTATCTCAATAGGCAGTGTACAGTACCTTCTTTGGAGTTCTTTTATTCGAACCATCATATTGAGGTGACCTTGAGAGTATTGTTCAATTACATCACGTACATCATAAGGTTTCTGAGCTTGCTGTGAAGAGAAGAAATATAAATCAAGCAGATTTTGCCTCAATCATTTGAACAGTATGGATATTAATACTACAGATACTTAAGGATTTGTATAGTGTTTAAAGTGATTAAATATTATTTTGACATTTTTTAGTCATTCATTTATTTCCAAGATTTATATACCACTCCGTGAGTATATGTTATGGCATGTTCAGAATGCTTTAAAAATAGAATAAGTAAATCTCTGGCTATTTAGTTCAGAAAGGGTTCCTGCAAACAGGTGTTACCAAGAGAGGCCAAAACAACACAATGTTGGTGCTGCCTAACCTCTAGTGGCAGGGAGTTCCAAAGAGATGGGACTGCTACACCAAAGCCGTCTCTCTCGGTGGACCCCAGCTGAACCACAGGTCCAAGAGAATCCACCAGGGATAGGCCATTTAATGACTTCAGGGAGGAGGTGCTCTCTCAGATGCTCTAGTTCCAAGCTTTAGAAGATTTAGCTAAGAATCTTAGCTTTAAAAAAACTAAGATGATCAGTACTGAACCTTCCTTTGTGCCTTTGTCCAGTAGTCACAGCAACAGCTGAACTCTGCCTGGTGGCTGTCAACTGGGGGCTTTTGGAATGATGACTAATCAGAAGAGTTCTACTGCTGCTAACACTGGCAGCAACAAATTTACATTTGTTTCCAATGAAACAGGTGGCCTGGGGAGGGGGGTGGATGCCACTTGCTGCTTGTCACCGTGGTAAGTGCCTCCACAAAAAACACCCACCCCATTTCCCCAAAATTGATTAAATGTCCCCTCAAATTCTCTACCGACAAACGGGTAGGGTCTTCCATTTCAGTCTTACATATCATGACATAAATGAAGAAATAATACATACTAATCCCCTTCATGAGAACATGAGAAGGGAAGAGTAGGGTTGAACAATTTAGCCTCCACTCTAATGTCCTCCTTCTCCTAATGGGAGCTTCAGATCTTTGGGAACTGGGTAGGAAGGTCTGAAAGCACATGTTCAGCTGAACATGCTTAGAAGCAGAGGAAGCAGTAAGACTACTCCTGATGGAATCCTCTTGACAACTTTAGGTCAATGACAAATGTCCCCTTCTTGGACAAGTTCCTTAAGCAGATGGTGGCAAGCTCTTAAAGAAGGCTGATTATCTGGACCCTTTTCAGTCAGGATGCAGAATGGCTTCTGGCACAGAAACAGCTTTGGTCACCTTTTATGATAACCTTTGTCAGGATGGACAGGGGAGTGTGGCCCTGTTGATACTCTTCACTCTCTTGCAGCTTTCATTATCATCAACCAAGGCATCTTTCTGGGATGACCGTCTGAGGTGGGAGTGGGGGTTCTATTATAGGGTTTCTACCAGAAGAGTGAGTTATTAAGGTTCAAAGGTAATACTGTAAACTTTTCCAGCATCCAAAAGCTAAAATTATTTCTTCAAACTATGCCAAGGCCTTCAACTTGTGAGGAACAACATGGAAGACAACTGCCTTGAATCTGATACCCTAATCATTCTGTAGATTACAGCTATATTTGTGGTGAGAATAAAATTATTTCCTTTACTGAAGCAGCTCCCTCCACCCCCACATCCTGCTGTATTCCAGGAAGGAGGGAGGGTAGAGCCAGGGCCATCTTAACAGCATTATGGGCCCCGGGCAAAGCAGTGTACTGCGGACCCTACAACAACTACAACTACTGTTAATTTTGGAAATTTTCCAATTTTCCAAGGGTTAACATGCACAGATTAGTATGGGGCCTATGGGCAAGTGCCCATCAGGCCCATGCGTTAAGACGGCCCTGGGTAGAGTCTGGGTGTGCTGGCAACCTCTGAAGCTGAGAGACAGAATGGCTTTATAAAATCCATGACAAGAGGCTTTGACTTTTGTTCCCGGTTTGGAGAAAGGAATTGAAGTGCTGCTCACTCAAGCAACTTTGCAGTACCCAGGAACATCTCCAGACAGCCAATATTGTCACAGAAAGGGGAAGGATACACTTTTCTCTTTGGCATGCATCCATATTTTATTATTGCGTTCAATAAACAGCATATCATTTTTGACATAGGTGGTGTCATTTCTCCCAAGTATCCTCAATATACTTGTACTGTGAAGTGTTGTGGCTAAACCAGGCTCTGGGTTTAAAACGGGTACTGCATTTCAGTGATTCTGTTCCTACTTGAATGGCCAGTTCCAGAAGGTGGTGATTATGAAATACTGCTCAGCCCATCCAGCATGAGGTTCTATCTGGGACAATCTTATCCTCCAGATTATTCAACATCTACATGAAACTGCAGAGTGGGCTCATTTGGAATTCAGGAGACTGTTGCCATTGTTGCCAACAGGCATACTGTTGACTTGCAGCTCTATTTTTCCTTTTCATCTCCACCAAGGGAGGTTGTGAATGTGCTAAATTGATGTCTGCCCATGACAGTGGATTGGATGGGGTTAATGAACTGAATTAGTGGCTTTTAGTGAGCATTTTTTTTCCTGACCAGATCCAGTCAAGGTACAAAAGCAGTTGAAAGTTGTCAGGTCCTCTCAGTGGTGGCCAGAGGGTCCTCTCCTCAAGACCTTTGATATTCAACTGCATTTTTTGCTGTATCCTCCAGCAGATTAATCTGTGGAGTAAAGGACAACTGTATGAACCTTCTGCAGATGGAAACTTCCACTGCTGCTGTGTGGTACATTCTGGAGGCCACAGGAACCAGATTTCAACTGGACACAGAACCATATGGTCTCTAAGGGCCTTTAGCACAGCACATTTTGGATCAGAAGTCTGTCAAGACCTTGCCTTCCCAGACCAGATGTAATAGGTCAAATGGACAAGCAGACAACCAGGACTTCAGGAACCACAAACCAATGGACTCCCTGTGACTTGATATGAACATCTGCCAAGGAATGCAGTTTTATTATGAACAAGCGTAGTGTATTATTCAGATATCAGATTTTTTGCATGCATTTTTCTTATTATAAACATTTTGTAAGTCATCTCCTTTAATATGATGTCCTTTGTGAACATCTTTCTCTAATATATATACTTTTCCTGAAGTTTTCTCTACTGTACACACTTTTCTGCACTTGCCCATATTATATACCTTTTTATGAGCATTTTCTTTGAGGAAACTTTGAGAGTGCAAATATCTCACTATTCCACAGACTGCATGGGCTCAAAAGTACAAATTTGGGATACATGCAACAACATGAGAACCTAATGAGGATCAGCACAGCATGGTAGAAGTGGGCACATGCACAGCTGCCCACAGCTGCCCATCCTGTGTGTAGGGCTGCCCACATGGAAGCCAAAGCATATAATCTGTCTGACTTTTTAAAGGCAAGCAACCTTGTTGTCAGCATTCAAATTCACAGAGCCTTCTAATTTGCCTTCAGCTCAAAGGAGCTGGGTCCCATGTCTAGGTGCACTCACACCTTTGTGGGTCACACTGCTGCTTATATGCATGGGCATGTGTGCAAACCAGCTGACTGTCTGGCAAAGCATCTAAGGGTTTAAAATGGCACATGGAGAAATTCTCTTGGAGGATTGTGCTGTTTTACAGTCAAAAAGGGAACCCAACAAATATTTGAGTTTGGTGCTATCTGCTTTGGAACTAAATGATGCTTGCAATGCTGGATGTTAGAGTTGGGAGCTGATCCCTGCATACAGTTATAAAATACAAGTAAAACTGAAAAAGGAAAACACCGTCAAAATCCAAAAGTTCTTCCAGTTTCAATTTGCTATTAGACTGACTTGTTGATAAAAATCTAAGACAGATAAAAGTCTAGATGGGGTTGACTTAGACTGGGCACCAAAAAAAGAGAAAAAGTGAACCTGTTAAATTTACATGGCAATGCTATTATTAGTGGAGTAAACAGAGAGAATGGGGTGGGGGGAACTGTGCTAGCTTTGTTTTTTTGCTGTTTTGGAATCTACTCAAGCTCAGTGGGGAATCTGGGGGAAAAATGGGTCTCTTTTTTGGCTGTGCTTCAAGGGAATAGAAAAAAGGAAGAAGGTACACTGAAAAATCTAGTAATTGAAAAATGACTAACAACAGCTCATTAGTTGTGTTGTCTGTTTCTACTCTGCCACAACCTCAGCTGGAGCCATTAGCATGCATTAAACACCTCCAGTGTGTGATGGAGTCATGCTTGGAGTGCAGCCATGGGATCCTAGAATTTGCAGATAAAAGCAGGGAGGAAAAATAAATCTTGCAAAAGAGAGAACAAGAGAGCAAGCACATTCAGACAAAACTATTTTAATCAGTCTTCAACAGTTTGGGCCTACCTGGATACTGGCATTGGGGAACACAGGTTTATTGTTCTCTCTCTCTCTCTCTCTCTCGCTCTCTCTGTGTGTGTGTGTGTGCGCGCGCGCGCGCGCGCGCGCATGCACTCAGAGGGAAAAGGAGGCCTGTTATAGTTTCAATTTTTAAAGGCTTAAGAATTATTGCTTTTCTCCTCTCTTCCAACTCCATTGCTTACAGACGCTGACACATCATAATTTCTGGCCAGAAAAAAAGCAGCCCATTGTTTCTCTCGCAGGACAACCATGCCAGTATCATTCTTTGGATTGACTGACAGGGGTGCTTTGAGAATAGTTTGTCTAAATGCACCCCCCTACTATTTTTTGGTTTCCATTGAATCATAATGGCTTAGAGCCTAGATTCACTAAAAAGGTTTTGAAAACAAAACCAGAAAAAAGTAAAGGCTACCCAAATGCACAATTAATTTTATTCTTCCCAATAAAGTTTATTTTTGCAGACCTCCCTTTGTTCATGAAGAATCAGCAGTGTTAAAGACTTATGTTGTTAAGTAATGTAAAATGAAAACTGGCCAAGCCCTGTCAAATGCTTTAAATGACTTCACTCATAAATATCTAGAATGAAGAAAACTAATCTGGCATCTTTCCTCTTGCTCATTTTCTGAATTGTTCTTTTTAAGCAACAAGACCAGAAAAATCAAGAACATGTGATTTAAGCAAGTGGCCTGTCATGCAGTCTCAAGTGAGATGACTGCACATTACAC